AAGCGTGAATTACATCTTTTCAGCACGCAGGAAAGAATGCAGCAGCTTCTAGATGCTTGCGATCTGGCAAGGTCAACTGCCCGTTCAATAGCCCCACTGAGGAGTCGTATTTGTGGGTAAAGCTCTCTGCGGGTGCCAGTTTAGGGGAAGGGGAGAGTCCTATAAAAGAAGCCGGAAGTGGGAATCATAAATTTCCAAAGCTTTTCCCGACATGATCGTTAACCCTGGTTTGCTAACGAGTTTAAGCAGAAAAGATACAGGAGGAATTTGAAAATGGAGAGCTCCTCGTTTATTGACATGAATATTTGAACGCCGACCACAAATCAGGCAATCTCTCATATCAGTGAACGGAGAAGTGCAGAGAAATCAAATTTCTGATCAGAACTTGATGTTTGGAAGAAAAAAGGAGGTATTTTCTTGATAACGGTCCCAGCGATAACAGTGAAAGTACAAAGAATTCAAAGCAATAAGAAATGTACCACATTCAAAAAAGACCTTATGTGCTCGCTGCGATATCTGGCAATGTTCCTTTTCAGAGGCTATTTTGGCGATAAAATTTGGCAGTTGTAAAGAAGCTCCAGCCTTTTCGAGTTAAATATTAGGTTGTCGGAAAAGTCTTTGCGCATTTGGCAACTTTTTTTCAAAATTGTTTTTCTTCTTTAGTGCAGCCAACAATTGCTGAATACATACACCACCATAATCGTCGAAACATTGCTCTTCAGCAGGCAACTTCAGGTTGCCGGCCCTTCAGAAATCCCGAGTCTTAACACCTCATAGGTACGGATCATCGAACTGCCCCTATTTCAGTACCTTCGACGGCAACAGAGGCGTATGGTAGCCTGTCTCTACCAGGTTTGCTGTACACACTAAGTGGGTCAGATCATTCTATAACGAGCTTGGAGACCTTTCCTGAACCTTCTTCGTAATTCGTGGGCGAGCGTTGCCGACATAAAGTAAAGTTTCTCCGATTTTCCGGGCACCATGCCGGGAAACCAATCCACTTGCTAACATTATTGTTCACCAATAGCAGTGGACTTCGTTGGCAGCAGCACTTTGCAGCCTCATGAGCTTTCAATGTTGCCTCCCAGGTTACTGTTCTCTAATCGGCGTAGCAATCCTTTGTTCTACGCATCCGAGCCAGTCGTGCTTTCGCGTGCGGTTTATCTGAGGATCCCACTTCTTGACACCACCAACAAAGTTGGCGGATCAAGCGATAGACGGGCGGCAAATCAAAATGTCCTTGCAAAATTTTATGGTCTCAATAGCCTGTGGTCAGTCAGATCACAAAATATCCTTTCGCCATAATTTCACTTCTTTTAGAGGCGATATTGAGGAACGGCCATTGTGGTCTGGTAGCACTGAAAGAGCTCCGCCAATTACCGTGCATTGCACTGAGCACTCTCTCCAATCAAATTCAGGCATTTTTCCCGTGAAGGAATTTAAAAGCATTTTAAACTCGATTACGAGGTTTGCCCAAGATATGGAAACTAAAACTGCAAAATGAACCTGCCAAGGAAGTTGTGAGCAGTCAAAGTTGGCTGGAAGTAAAGCATTACATATGAACCGTGCTAGCCTCCGGGCTTTCAGAGTCGCCGTGGAGTAGTGGTAGTGCCCTCGCTCTCCACCGGGAGGTCGTGCGCTCTCCTTCTGTTGAGTGCAACTTTTGAGAGCACTACCACTACTCCATGGCGACTTTGAATGCCGGACGGTACCACGTTTCATATGAAACGTTTTGTTTCCAGTCGTTTTGAGGGCTCACACAGATATGTAAGCATTCTATGCACCACTGAGAATGAAGGTGGAATGGGACACACTGGGATGGTCACATGAAAGTCGATCATCGATAAGGTATGCCGAACAAGGCCAGTCGATTTCATGTCTATTTGATTACATTTGTTTTTCTGTCGATGTTGCTGGGATTATGACTGTTTTTGTAGGGTCCTTCACAACACGTGCTAGTGTTTTGTAGATAGTGGGTGGGCACGTGGCAAACAACGATAAGGGCTCCCAAACAAAATTGGTTCCGCTATTCCGGTTTTCGGTTTATCGGTTTTCTCGGATCGATTGGTTGCACAGCTCACCTCTTGCACCACCATGGGATAATAATCGGTTGTGTGAGCTACCCAGCACCAGCACTGAAAACAGTGTTCGACTTTGGGTTAGCCCAATGCTAGGTAATCCATCGGGATCGATCCATGCAGGACCTATCACTACAAAATAGGTTGTTGGCAGAGGGCTGGTATAGTCCAAAGGTGTATTCAGTACCGGCGCTGATGCTCTCAAAAGCAATTGTTCGTCTACGCATGCACCAGTTGCTCGCAGAAGACTGAATAACAGTTGGTCGCGCTTCCCCAAAGGTCCTTGTGAAACTGTGACATGGCATATGCCTGCCTTTCACGTTCGGTCACTAGAATAATTTGATGCATAATTTATTCAGGAACCGGCTTGTTAATTGCTTAGGATGCTAGTCTCAATAATGTACATAGAAATCGCAGTAGAAATTGTGGTTTTGTCTCTCTGCTTCAAATTTCTGGGTACCCGACAGGAGGCCCGTCGCGCGGCAAGAAGGCAGAGTCGCGGACGAGTCGCAGCGCGTGATGTGCGATGTAGGACGTACAATGGTACATTCTATTTAACTTGACGCGAAATCACTACAGCACGCGCCGCGACTCGTCCGCTGATTCTGCCTTCGGGTACCCTAAATTTCTCATGAAGTCTGATGTGAAGCTTCATTCTATGCTGTCAAGAAAGCCTAGGTCCGGGCGACTTCTTTATATATTGTACATACATGTATTATATCAGCAAAACTGCGGAAGGGCGTGGCAAATGATGATGCTTGTCAGGCGTAGCGCCAGACCCCAAGTACTGGATCGTAGGATCCAGGCCAACAAAGCCTTTCATCCCTCCGAGGTCGTTGAATTGGTGCTAAATTCGTTTGGGGAAACAAAATCACTGACTTCTACATCGCCTGACCCTCATAAGTCATTGCATGAGCCTAATCGCAATCAAAGTGTTACTACGATTTGAATGGAATTAAAATGCTTGGCGCATCCCAAAAGGGCTGCTCCATCCTGAGCGCTTTATTATTATCTATTGCAACTACTCAATAAATATAGCAAATCAAAAGGATTGGTTATACATTTAATGCTGATAAATGCCTCTTTGGGGTAAGGATCGCATTCTATTCAGGGGTCCATGGCGACGCCTGAATAGAATGCG